TTCCAGCTGCCTGATAAAAGAGTCTGGCCTGGTTTGCAGCATGATTTGCGTCCCACTGTGACGAGGCACTTATTTGACTGTTTGAAATTGCACGGTTTTCCATACCGAGGGCGCCGAGACAATACTGGCATCCTAAAAGATTTAGTCGATCCAAATAAAAAGATTTGGCTAATTGATATTGTTGAGCTATAAATCGAGTATAGAGGAAACCCGTTTTGTTTACCACTTCTAGTATAGACTATAATACACTTAGAGTACAGTATGAGCGACTTCTTGGGTTGTTTAACTTAAAATGATGAGTAACAATTAATTTATTCAGTTTTGCTGGTTTTCTCTCCTAATAATAATAATGATAATAATAATAATAATATTTAATATTTACATAGCGCAAATAAACATACAGGAGGATGTGATCAAACGCGGTATACTACCTAATTCATAGGTAGTATACCTCACGATTTTTATTTTGAGGTACTTTAATTCGAAATGGCCTCATAAAGACCCCCAGATATAAGAATTTACGTAATTACCTCCACATCCGTACAGTTCCACTCTCATCGATATGTGCCCATACCAGGCCAGTGGTCGGATACGGAGAAAACGAGCCTCGATTGGCGAACTCAGGAGGTGAGAAACAATCGTGTCTCGGTTTTTGTTTCCAGAAAATACCTAGATGAATGAAGAAACTGTCATTCGAAGTACGAAATTCTAAGTTAATCAGTAACGATAAGAAACATTTAATTTCTTCTAATTTTCAAGTTTTGACCAAAACTTGTAACGTCAAAGCATTGTAAAGTCATTATTCATACATGAAGGAAATAATCTTGGGAGGGTAAAGTTGTGATCATTTATTTTACCTTATAGTTTGGATGCCCATGTTCTCTGTAGTACTGAAAGTGTATACCATCGTTGCTATACTGCAACATGTATCTTGTAACCCACTGGTTGAATTTATTCCTTCCCTGTGTTGCAACACGTGTCACTAAGGTGTGATGGCAACCAAGATCAACTTGAAGCCATTGATTGACATTGTTTGCACGTGCTGACCATGCACCTTGTTTTGCTCCACGTTGCTTAAAATTCAGCCTGCCTTGGATGGCGGCATGATTTGGATCCCACTCTGACGAGGCACTGATCTGTCCGTTAGCTATGCGTCCATCTTCCATGCCCAGAGGTTTTTCACAAACTGAAAAGTAGTAAATTGAATGCTGAGGCTTTCCTTAATGGCAAATTGAAGTGTATTTATTTTAAGTAGGGTATATCTCTTTAAAGGTAGTATATGCAATTATTGAAAGTGATTTTTCGGAGAGGCAACAGTATTTCCTCAAATGTCTCGGCATGCATATCAATTTTTACCTCGTAGTTTAAAAGGTAGAATTGTTATTTCCAGCACACCTAAAATTTAAGCGATTCTCTGTTTTTTTTTTTCACTGATTTTGAAGTTGACTAAAGACGACAACTCAGTCATTCAGCATTGAGCTACTTTCCTATAACAGGCTCCCAACTTCAGTACTAAAGTGCTCTAATTTTGTCCGCCAAAGAAATGCTTAAAGAACGATCTAAACAATGCATTTTCGTGTTAGTCGATCTTTTGAAGGTTCTGAAAGCAGGTACTAAGATTTGATCATTTAGATTAAGAAAATTTCATCGTCAAATACCTTTGCAGCCGTAAAGTTCCACCCGCATGGAAACGTGTTTATGCCAAGCTGTTGGCAGAAAGCGGATGTAGCCTGCGTCTATTGGTGGATTTAAGTGATGAGCAACAACAGTGTTCGGATCTGTGTTTCCGGCGAATTCCTGCAAATGACAGGTAATATGTAGCATATAAACAAATCAAGCTGCTTGACGACAGTTGCTTCATCACGAGTCAAAAGCAATCCATAATTGAATTGCTTCTGCCTATTTAAGTTTGCAATTACGTAAAAGGTTCACCGTTTTCTATGAACATAAAATGAAGTAATTTAAAATGCAATTCTTCACTAAAGTTTTCTTGACAAAATTTCTAACCAGCGGTCCTTTTAAGTATTTTATGGTTCCAATGATATGTTTATGCTAGTGCGAGTTTCTTTGAAAAAATTTGACTCACCATGTATGAAGCTTTTCCTTCTCCCCGATAATATTGGAAATGTATTCCATCATCGCTGAACTGTAGCATGTATTTCGTCACCCACTGGTTATACGCATTTCTTCCTTGTGTTGCAACTCGTGTCACCACGTTAAACTTGTTAATGAGATCAATTTGGAGCCATTGGTTGAGATCATTGGTGCGAGCTGACCAACCTCCCTGTTTGGGTCCATTTTTCTTGTAGTTCAGTCTTCCCTGAATGGCGGCGTGGTTACCATCCCATTGAGATGAGGCAGTGATCTGGCTGTTTTTAATGTTGCCATTTTCCATTCCAAGCGGTTTCAGGCATTTTGCGATCGCTACATCTGTGTTGATACAACATAGTTCGTTTAAGGGAGAATTATAACCACTCAGTTTTCACAACGCAAGTAATTGCCTTTTGTTTAATCGCTCAGATAATTTTAGAGAAGCGCGCTGTGATTGGTCGAGGATTACCTTGTCGTTTGCTAGAATCAACGTTACGAGTTAATGCTATGACTATAGCACAATAATGGCCGGGGCGCGACTGTTGATATTGCGTCAGTTAACGGTTGTTAAGTGTATCAGTTGTTCAATTGTATTTTCCTCAGTTACATATTTGGCTTTTTATGCTATCCTTACCAAGCATCTCACTGTTTTCCGCGACATCATAACAGAACAGAAAGAGAGCTACCGCGAGAAACTCGATCTGCAAGCAATAAATGACAAGAATGTTCAGGCTGTTTTTTTTATTATTTCATCATTCTTTAAATGAATAATACCTATTAAGTTTGCTAAAAAGGTTCATGGGAAAGTTCGGCAGCGTTAAAAGATAACTTTCCTTCCAGAGCAGTTAAGGACTCTGTGATTAAGATCGCAAAACTTAAAATAAATAAATCCCACTCTGATACAGCGAGCACGATTTGGTCGAAAGTTAAATAAGGATTATAGCGCCGGGAAATGCAATAGTCTCGAGTCGCTACACCTTTTATCCTAACGACCTCTATTTGGTTACGTGGCATTGAACTCATGCAAAGGTAACTACACTCTTATTCTTGCAGAACTGCGGTTACCGCTCTTTGAGTTTATAGGAGAAGTATTTGTAGTGGACAGAAAAATCTGTGGTTATTACTCCGCGCAGAAAGGAAAATCTAAACAACTCGCTCACGCTAATATATTGTGGATTCTTGTTGCATTGAAATAGAGGATCTGAAAAAACTCACCGATTTCGTGAAGGACGACATATTCTCCTGCTAAAGACGAGGACATTTCTCACCGCAACTCCATGTCGGACGCTATTTATCCTCGGTAAAAACGAATGATTTATTAGTTCCTTTCTATTAATTTAAAAAAATATATAAAGGTAATTGTCAGGCTTTTGTTTCTTGACGAATGGAGACGCTAATTTTCGTTTTGTTTGCAGATGCTGTCTAGAGGTAATTGCATACTTTAATGACAGTTCTCACGAAAGAGACCTACAATACTGCTGATTAAGAGCTTCGAGTAAGAGGAAATTTTGGCAAGTCCACGTTGTATTTGCTTTGGTTACAAACCATTAAACAAAGGCAGGCTGTTTTATGCCGAAATAAAAGAAAACTACACAAGAGGATTACGTAACTTATCATTGCCCTGACAAGTGTAAGTTTTTTTGAAAACAAAAATATGTCTTGCGGTATTTGATTCAAAGCTGTTTCATAATTCAACCACTGTGAAGACCCAAAAGGTGTGGAAACAATCAAAAGAATTACATAATATGCAAGGCGGTGTCCACTTCGTTTGAAAGTTAATGATGTCCAACTGATGAGATGACAACAAGCGAAGTAATGCCCCTGTCAATTGCAGAATAAAAATGATAAAAACAGTGGCGGGCGGGACAATCCTTTTCCTCATGTGTTTTAGGACAGCGGAGACATAACGTGAAAGAAACCCGCCTGTATTTTTTTTCCAATACACGCGTGCCTTTCTTTGTAAACTCCCTTTTTGCTTAGTTCGACAGATAAACTCGTTCCATCTCAATGTGGCTTGGGCTATCAACATTTCCTGACTGGTTTTCAATTCCAAACGTAGCACCATGAAAACATCAAGATCCATCGACAACACTGCAGTCAGACTAAATAGTATAAACACGATATTTACAGCGATTCTTTTCCTGTTGTCCGCTATTTTGTCGAGTATGTAACCTGGCCTGGCAGAACGAGGGTTGGCAGATGTCAAATTTCATATAAAGGCTCTGCCAAGTTACCTCAGGGGGTACCCGAGACTATATAAATGGGGCCTAAGGTTTCCAAGAAATTGTTGGATGTTTCTGCGAGCATATGATGTCCTAATAGACAGGAGGGTAAATATGATTGCGGACCAGCAGATTTGGCCTTTGAAAACTCGTGGATGGCAGATTTTATTTATAAAAAACTGTGCCCGCCTGAGGATTTTAAATACCGAGGATCTTGCGAAGTGAGCACTGTTAAAAAAAAACTAAGTGTTGGTCAGTTACAGAAAAGCAAAATATCTAAAGACACTCACAAACAAACTGTATATATCGAAACTAGAAGTGATCGAAAATAGCTTCTGGTCGACGGACTACGCCAAAAAGTACAGTGGATATGTTCGGTTTGCATACCTCTATTTATCACCCTCATCGAGCAAAAGCCATTACGGAGAGATCGATGGAACAATTAAGAGCAAAAAAAAAATGCTTGTAGGTTTGTAAACAAAAAGGTTATGAAGGTGACAGAGGAGAAATCCGTAATATTTACGTAGCGGAATAATGTTAACACCGTCTACTTAGGTTGATAAAAAATTGTCACACCGGCAGATCAGACTTTATATCATCTGACCATATGATGAAGAGCATTTTGATCGAATTTCGAGAAACATACTTAAATTAATTTATAACAGCAATAAAGAGATCTTCCCAAAGGTAAACTGACGCAAAAATAAAAGAGAAACAAATTGCTAGGTATGTTGAGGGAAAGCCTTTGTAGATCTTTCGCATTCGCTTATCTCTGATTGGGTTCACAAACTTTTCTCGTATTCTTCCACAATTCCGCTTGAGTTCTGAAGCCATGTGTTCTTGGTAAGATATACGGCTGACTGACTAATATGACATTTTGCCCTATTGAACTACTACATTTACTGCTCTCTTTTAATTGAAATTGTAGTAACTATTTAATCCTGGTAAAATAACTTTTTTTGTTTTTGTTTTTGAGGCTTAACCACCCGTTAGGGGGGTAATAAAATTTGAGAATAAGATAAACTTCTATTCTTTAATTTCGTCAAATTTAGAAGTTTCCTTGGATTTTAAATGGCAATTGAAGAGGGTCCCCGATAGGTTTTTCGGGATCCGGGATTGGGCTTATTTGAAGGACGGGATCCGAGAATTTGAAGTAAGAAGGGAGCGAGATGCGGGATTGTCACGGTTAACGGGACACGGGACACGGGAATCGGTAATTTTAAAAAAGAGAAGACTAAAATTCCCCAGCAGTGATGAAGAGTCGGATGAATCATTTCCGGACGACGAGATCGCATATGATGATGGTTACTCTATCTTTGGAAAGAGAGATTCATTTTCTCCCGTTTCGGAAGAAGTATTCACTTCAACAGCAGAGTTGTGTTCAGTTGATTTTTTCTTTATTTCCCTTTTTATGGAAGCAATGGGATTATTCTCACCTTGTTTTGTTTTATGCACTAATTTAAATTGTTATTCGTTTCTTTGATACTGACCTGTCTTTACTAATATGTTTTTCCGAGATCGAAGTTTAACGGAAGGAAGTCGTTACCGTGACTAGCGTACGCTATTCGTGCAAAACTTTGAAAACTTCTAAAATGAACGATATCGATGGGTGAAAAAAGATAAACGTACGCCTTACAGTGAGCAAAGACTCCAACGGCTCAATGCTGGATGAGAAAATCATCACCTACCGAAAATACTTTTTTTAAGTTGAGGGAACGGAATAAAACAAAAAAATCTATGATCGAGATCGGGATTGGCCGGTATAAACCGTCGGGATTACGGGATTGAGAAAAAACTTTAAGTTAGGATCGCGGGATTAAAGAACCCTATTGGGGACCCTCATTGAAATTGCCATTTTGGACCTGTGACCTCGGACATCTTTAAGTGTATACGTTAGATGCCAAAGAAACAGGACTGAAGGTTGCGCATCCGAAACAATTTGAAATTCAATCGAACGTGGGTTTAGATGTTCTCAAGCACTGCTAACCACAATTGCTTTTATATTGGAAACGTTATGGACAAAACAATATACCCTGATTTAAACCCACACATATACGCATTTTGTTTGTTTATTTTCCCATTTGTTTGAATAATACAAGGAATAATGTGATGAAGGCAGAAAATCAAGAGAATCTAAGCAATCATGTTCACCAAGCGTTTCGTAAGGTAAATTTAGCTCTTAAAAGAATTTTCCACCAAAATTGCATCAGATAATCTGTTTTTGAGGATTAATAAACACCGAAGCGGTGAGAATACCAACAACAAAGAAAAATAATTGTTGGCATCACGTAGATATGCACAGATTGTAAAAGAAGCAGTTCGAAAATTTAAGCCGTTTATTTTCAACATCTGAGAGTTGAGCCGTAGCGTTGAATCTTTCAATGATGACAACCTTTAGTATACAGGATGCAATTTTTCAACCAATATTTTGTATTAAGTCATTAAGAACAAACATCATAAATCTTTAGAGAGTGGTTTTTCCCTGAGGGACATTTGTGCAAATTAAGAGTCACGTAACGCATCAGTGCTTCTGCTCAACAGCTGCGTTTTTGGAGTGCGTCTGAATTAAACTTTTTAAAAACAGCTAAACCATGGGGCTATAACTCCTGTTTCTTTGTGACTTAAAGGTTATCTAGTAATTCGGAAGAGCAGAAGAGTCTTGCGTGAGTTGTTGATAGAGCTTGACTATGCATAATTTAAAATCTTACCACAAGCAAATGCTTTATAATAACTATTCATCCATGAAGATAAACCCTCGAGAATTTGCCTCGCTCCATCCCAACCTGTCACTCTTAAGCTCAGTTGGCAGGAGCGCCTAACCTTCTTTACTTCAATGGTGGCGAAGAGGAAATAATGTTGTTTCTCACTCAAAAAACTTCACGATGAAATCGTTGTCCAAAATTGTTAGCCGCAATAAAAACCCATTTTAAACTTTATGACCTTCATTTGGCAAATTGATAGTTTCTTGCGTAATCTCAGAAAACAGCGTGCGTGACAATTGAAATTCGGCTGTTGGTATCGCGTGAATGTCTGAGCCTACTTTGTCTGGAAGAGTTCGCAGAGATTAGAGGTTCAGTTTTGCATTTATTTTGCTGAATCGTTCCAAAAAAACAGTCTACCACCATGTTCTGGGATTTTGCGACAATAGAAATAACAACTGTTTATTCTCTCTGATAAATTGTGACAATCTTTGGCTGTGTACAACACTTCAGCATCTCCATCAATATCTCAACTTGATGAAAATTAAACCCCGACAATCGAATCAGTTTTTACAAGCTTTCGGCACAAATAGTCGAAAATATTCTTGAAATATTATTCAGACAAATGTTACAACCATAAATCTCTTTCTTTCTTGTGCATAAGATAAATCCCTATTTAAAAAATATAGAAGAAAAAAATGGAAATTTTGGTATGCAGTGAAACGATTTAAAGTTTATCGTGTAGCATCCGTGCACGTTGGTTTCCCGTTTTCTCTCCACCCATTGAGCTCTTAACCTTTGAATATTTTGGAAGAAATAAAATTTTGATCTAATCACTTTGAAGGTTTAAAGAATAAAGTTGCATGGAGGCAAATTACGTGAGTTACAACATTACATTATCTACCAAGTCAACCATGTCCCGAGGGCCCATTTTTTCCTGTTTCTTATAATGAATGAAATCATTGTTAAATCATTGTCTTTAAAAAAAAATTAAGAAAGGAAAAAAAAAAACAAAACAAAACACAAATTCAATGGTATCTCCACTTGAATGAATAACTTTACACAACAAGCTTGACATCGAAGATAGAAACATTCACAGAATGACATTGTTGCAAATGAAAACTCAAAAAGTCGGCAGGACGTCGGACTCTAACCACCTCATTATGGTGTTTGGTTTTCAAACTCTCTCAAGATCTAAAGCAATCCAAGTGCTATTGCTGACGTGAATTATTTTTCTTTAAAAAATTGTTACATGCGGAAATTTTTTTAGAAACCCTGGTATTATTATAATCATAGAGAGCTAACTGATAGGGCTTGTCCTAGCCGAAATGGATCTGTTTTCTTCTAGGTATTGCAAACTATTGAAAGTAACCTCTATTTAGGGTAGAAGCACGTATTCAGAGCAAATGAAGCATATTACAGCTGTATATTGCAGCTGTATCTTAGCGAGAGACTGTTCGTAGCTGAAAAAAATAGTTTTAAAAGTAAAACAGTTTGAATGTTTACAACATATACTAAAAATAGTTTTCAGTTTCAATTGGAAATATTTTCACAGTTCAGTATTGTGTCTCGTAATTACGCTCTCAACCCGTAATTGTTTTGATTGGTTTTCGTCTTTTAAAAGCGGCCATTAAAAGAGTCTGTGATGCAGAACCATGTGAGTGGAATTTCAATGGTCAGTTTTTCCCTACTCCTATTGATTTATTCGGAAACCCTTTCAAGTTGGTCATAAAGACAGAAATGCGGAAAAATCAGATGTGACGTACAGGCTCCATTGCCCGGACTAAGGGAAAGAGTTCATACGAACCATATTGATTTACTGAGCGTGAGACATGGCAGTTCTCTGTCTCCAGCTTTCTTTCGCAATTTTTACTTTAACTACAGTTGTTGGTGGATATAGAAGTAAGAATGAACAATATTTTACTGTTGGTCGGGAAATTGAGGATGCAAAGTCATACGATTTCATACGAGGTGAGTAACTGATGTTTTTCTCCGTAATGAGTCTTTCGCCCTCAGGAACAAAATCTAAATTTTTTATTCATCCCTTCCTGGTTTTAAATTGCAAATTATGCTCTTGGTTCTGATCAATAAATAGGGCCACTAAGCCTGGTCTAAGCTTAGGGATATTTCGATTGAGACAAAAGGGGATCAAGTTCAAGCTGGGTGATGTTGGAAATATTTATCTTTGAAGTGAGCTGTCACAGGCTGTGGCTCGCCTACTTAGGTCTATGGGTGTGTAAGAGATTTGTAAGTTATCGGGGGCAATTTTAAAGCAGAATGTAGAACTTTTCAAATCTTAGTATGTCGGCAGACAAGTTAAAACAACAGCCTTCATTATTTGTCAGACTTTTCTGGCCAGATCAAAGCGAGTTAAATTAATCAAGCATTAAATACAAACAAATATCGGTCCCTAGCGAACTTTTTGAAAGTCATATGTAAACATCTAAAATTTTCACTTGTTGCAGCAAATTATCAATGAATCCTAATGAATTTTCATCTTCGATTAAAACACTTCTGTGTCGAGGCTGTTCTCTATTTACGATGGGCAATCATTAGGGGAAGTACTACTTGGATTGGATTTGTTCTATTCGAACAACCAAATATTTACCAATAATCGCAAAGAATTGCTTCATCTAAAAGAGAGTTAATGAAAGTTTCTCATATTTCAGTTTATCTGGCATTCGGCTAGAATTTCAAAAGTGAAATATTTTTATTTGGCTGAATTATCATCATGACGTCACAATACTCCAAACAAATAAGCTATGGCGGATTAGAGTAGAGTCCGTTTCCATCCAAAACAGTGTTGACTCACGCTCAATTACGTCAAAAGTTTAAGGCGCTTTAGTAGTTTTAGTAGTGTATGGTGGGTATCGCGTCTGCTTTAGTTTAACTTAGAAGAATTTCACGCTGGTCGCCGTAACTAAATGCAGCAGTTTCATGAATAATACCTGCTGCATATAATTTCCTTAAAAAAAAGGTCGGCGGACCTAATTCATTATACTATCCTGATCTAGATGATTGCAGATAGATTGTCGACCACAAATATAACCCATCTCTAATCGACTTGAGAGTAGGTAAAGTGTAACAGGAATAAACTAGAGACATGATGATAGCACATATCACCAGTGGTATTTATTCAACCTATTTTAAAAGCGTAACAGGAAAATCTAAATAAAATGTTGTGCATTTACTTTAAATGTTGCATTAAGTGGTAAAGAGTTGACGTAACTGCCGAAAAAAAGGATGCAAGTGGGAACGTAAATTGTCTTCGAAACTTTCCGCTTTCCACCATTTTGGATTGGACCTTGACGTCATGGGGTTGCCACTTTCGTCTTGATACCTGACCTCCTGTGGTTTTGAGCCTCTGAGAGGCTTTTCATGATAGAATTAACAATCAAATGGCTTTTCATTTAGAATGATAACTCGGTAGAAAAATTAAAATATACAGTATATAATTTTTTTTTTCATTTTAACTTTTATATCAAGTTTTTCACATCACCAAGTCCTCACTGTAACACTCGCATTCAAATTTAATGTTGAGAGAAGGGCTCTAATTTCAACATGGTATGTGCCTACTAAAACAACTAACACGTAGACAATTCGTCAAAATGATACCCCATCAAATAATCGACTTATTTGATTAATTGCAGATGAACGCTCCAGATACGGCTATTATGATGAATATGAAAGTCTAATCGCTGAGGGTATGTAATTTCCTCTCAAATCATTCCGTTATTGAACATTCTGAGTCTCTTTTATTCAACCAAACCGTTAAGAGAGATATACCGTCGTTCGCTCGGCGGTACGGTGAGTAACTAAACACTATTCTGTACGGATGGAATGAAAAAATTGGAATTCAATTTTAGCGATAGAAATACAATCGAAGGAGGGAGGGGAGGGGGGAGATGGCTCAAAGGGAGCCTTGGAAGCTGTCAAAGGGGAGCAAGGATGACGCAGTCGTAAGAGCACATGTGGCTTAAGTTTGTTGTTGGTTCTCGTCCATGCTCGGAGGGTTTTTCTTCAGGTGCTCCGTTTATTCTCCCTCCACAAAAATCAACATTCTAAATTCCAATTCGACCTACAAACAGTGGACAAGAAGAACCACCTCGTGGAATGTCCACTTTTAAATCCCCCTTTTATAATTTGTATTCCTTTTGATCAGATAATCTAGCGTTCTTACTTTTTGCAGCTAAAAGGTCCAGATACGTTGATGAAGCGGAAGCTCTCATAGCTGCGGGTATGTAAGCAAATCTTATCTGTCCGTGCTGGAACATGTTTGCTCCTTTACAAAATACCTAAATTTAAATCATATTAAAGAAGCCATATATGACACAAATAAAAAGTAGTACTGCGTATAGGTAAATGAATTTGATCTAAAGCAGTGCCTGTCCTCTTTATTACGATGAAACTACAGGGTAGGAAAACCTAGGTACGCTGCCACTCGCTTGCCATAGGTTGATTTCGAGATATTTTTCTTCTGGAGCGGTATCAAGAGAACGGATTTTGACGCTAATGATGAGGATAAATAAGCCTAGCTTACATAAGGCATTGTAAGTTCTACAAGACCACTATCAAACGAGATACCTATCTATAAAATCACCAAGATAAATTCACAGTGCCTGGTTTTGCTGTAGTGAATCCAGGGATAAGATAGGTCTCTATATGATATAACTAAGCGCTGATAATAATAGTGATGACAACCGAAAAGCATTACAGAGCAAAATTTTGGAAAATGTGTCTAGTACAAAGATCCGTTCAAGTTGCAGGAAAAACCTTATCTAAACGTCTCAATGAAATAACTATAACAAAGCCCATTATCATAAAGCCTGCCTAAAAAAACGTTTTGGTTCTATGTATCACAAGTTAATGTCTTCCTTAATCTCAAGGGGAGAAACATTAGTATTTTGTTAATGACCGATCGCCGCCGGTGCGATGCACATCTCTCTTGATTGGTCTACCTCACGGTCACAACATCCTAAAAAATTCAACTTGAGCTTTTTTAAGCTGGAAGTTTTTCTCCTTGCCAAAATTTTTCGATCGTAGACCAAGTTCGATACTTCTTAGGCTATCCTTGATTCTTTGTGTTCTTCGGTCAATTAAATGTTTTCCCTCGCGCTTCGGAGAGAGTGACTCGCATTACTGAATCTTTATGCATCTCCTTCAAATCATTTATGTTTTCTAATTACAGATGAAGACGAAATTGAAGAGCTTTCTTGTTTAGAAAACCCGTGTAGGTACGGGGGAACATGCGTCGTCACTTCCTGTGGCAGTTACGAGTGCAAATGCCGGCCGGGTTTCTCAGGAAAGCATTGTGACTGCGGTAAGCTACATTATTACTTTCTAATGTGGTCTGTTTTGCAAATCTGTGGTTGAAATGAAAGAGGTTTAAGATGATAAAAAAATAAATAATTTTTATTTAGCCCATATGAATTCAGAAAATTTTCCCCTGGAGTAAGCCCTACTCCCACCCCCCTGATGATATTGAACAGACAACAACGACCAACAGTGGTAGAAATCATTCATACCACTGAGGACAAGGGCACAGTGTTCCTATTACAATTTATCATAGCTATAAATTAAATTAAAACTGACGTGACCACCTGACCTATTTAAGAATTAGAGCGTGTTCCATTTCAGCCCGATGAAGGCACTCTAAGAATGAAACTTTTGCTAATTTTGGGAATTTATGTGAATATTTGTTAAATGTCAAATTTTAACTCAAAGTTCTGTTTGTGAAAGTACGTTCGATTGTGTTTTCACATTTGGGAACCAGGGTGGGGACAATGGGGAAAGCGTTTGCCTTCCACCACAGTTGGCCAAGGTCAATTCTTTGGAGTCACATTGAAGTTGAGGTTAAGTTTTATTGGCTTTTTCTCTCCCTTGCCACGGTGTTATCCAATATACCTTCCTTCACAAAAACCAATAGTCTAACTTCTAAGCAATTCGGCTTAGATACAACTAACAAAAAGCCACCTACCCCTTTCTTTTCCTCCCCTCCCCACCAATGTGTAAGCTCAATTTCATGATTGCATGTTTCATTCATACAATGGCTCATCGTTTTCTAAAATTATGTCATTCTGTTCTATTTTTCAGTTGTCAAAGAGTGTGATTTTGACAAAAATCCGTGTCGCCACAATGCAACCTGTATTGACATGGGTTCAGACTATATCTGCAAATGTCCTTCGGGTATCAAAGGAAGACATTGTGAGATTGGTGAGCTAAGACAAAAAGCATTAATTAATTTCATGTTAAAATCCAATTACGTCACGAGATGGAATATTGCACCACCCGTCAAGAATGTTGAGAGAAAAAAAAGAGAGCGTGGTGACACAGGAGGGGTGGGGGAAGCTGAATGACGTTCACGAAAAGTATATTAATAAAAAGAAATCAAAAAATCAAAATTTCTCCCTTTGTATTCTTTTCGTATTCACGCGCAGTGCACATGATTTCGCAAATTAGCCAATCACGTCAAAGAACTCTAACCTTGACATTGGAAAACTGACGTGGACATTTCCGCCTATTTTTGTTTGTTCCGCGGAGTTTTAGTTAGTTTTTTTGAGCTTTCGTTCGCGGAAATTTGTTACCCCTCTGTTTGGAATTTTATGGAGTTTCAGAGTTTTTTACTTTAGCCAAATGTTGTGGTTCATTTAACGAGTTTAATTGATTAATTAATTAATAATAAATTAATAATAATTTATAATTAATTAATAATAATATGTCATTCGGAGTTTGGACTATAGCCTCTTTTTTTGGCTCAATCCATTCCCCTCAACAGTTGACAACTACCCCAACATGAGTTACATGTTTTAAGGTGGTTAAGAGAATTATTAGCTTTGTAAAATTTTTTTTAATCTCTCTTTAGACATCGATGAATGTGATGCCTTGGCGTGTTCCAACGAAGCTACTTGCATCAACACTGTCGGAAGTTACATGTGCAAGTGTAGACCTGGATTTAAAGGAAAGACGTGCTGTTCAGGTAATTTAGCAGTGTCTTATTATTATAGAGAAATAGGAACTGTGAAGAAGAAAGATACTGAATTTATTTTTCACGCATAGAAAGAAAAATAAAAACCAGGGAGATGGACTGTACCCACGAAGACGAAAACACGCGTGTGGCTTGAAACGGAAGCTTTGTCGCGAAATTTATGACGCTCTTCTCCAAATACAAAATTTGCTCATCATTCTAGGCTTAATGATGATCTGGATGGCACAATTTTTAAATTAGGCCTTTGAATGCTAATAGAATATGTTCTTTCAATCTTTCTGATTCATTGTGTAATCAGAAAGCACTGATATGGTTGAAGTTTACAATCCACACAATCAAGTTTACTCGCTCCTAACCTGCTTTCCCCGAAAAAAAAAAAAACCCATTCCTTTTATACCTTCACAAAAATTTTATACCCCTCTGTCGTTTCAGATATCAACGAATGTGAGTCGTCAGACGGCGATCCTTGTGAAAACGGGGGAACTTGTGAGAACACTTATGGCAGCTTTTGGTGTGCATGTCCCAGTGGGTTTGTTGGAAAACGTTGCGAACGCGGTAAGTCCAGATCAGCGATATTTTTTTTGAAATAGGAATTTCAAAGCGTAAAAGTTCCATGTAGTACACAGTCTATTTTATCCAAACTGGTAGCCGATATTGAATATCTATGATGAAGTGGAAATGTATCCATCAGTCTTTTCGTCTCTCTTTTCCTTGCAAGCTGAAGCCATAGAAAAGGTGTTAGAGGCACATAGCAGGGGTTCGTAGGGTAGAACAAGATACCCTGGGAACGAGGGTGATTGTCGATAGAAAGAGAGGACATGGTCCAAATATTACAAACTGGGAATTTGAACTACGTAACAACGGACAACCTGAATTCGTTCATATTTCAATTTTCGGCTGCCACTTTGGAAATTGATATATTGGCTAAGAATAACTACGCTCTTGCATATCTTACATCCTTATTCCAGCGCCTTCGATGACAGCTTTGGAATCATTTTCTAATGCGCTTCATACAACATCAAACATTACTGGTAACTAACCGCTCTCTGCTTTGCAGATCGTAATGAATGTGTTAATTGGCCATGTGAGAATGGTGGAAAGTGTATCAATACCAGAGGAAGCTATGAGTGCTCTTGCCCAGAAACTTATCAGGGAGAGCATTGCGAGCGAGGTAACCGCCCAGCTGTTAACATTGAATAACAAAACTTTATATTCCTAACATGCAACCCTATCAAGATCCACTTCTATGCTAAATTAGTTTCTTCCATGCACGACGTATCGTGAACCTTCTTGCTCATTGTTTAACTGGGATGCGATCAATTTTACTTTGACTTTGTTACTGCCTAAAAATTTGCTTTGGAATGTTGCTGGCTCGACAGCTTTCCGCAGATGTGACACAGATGCCTCAAGAAACATTTCCATAATGCCCCGAATAGATAACAGGCTAGATAAAAAATTTTCCTTTGACCGTTCCGCGGCTAAGACGTTCATAATGAATAATTCTTGAGATATTTTCAAAAATTTCTACAGATGTAGATGAGTGTCTCACAAACAACCCTTGCAAGAATGGAGCAACATGTACCAATTTACCCGGAGACTACAAGTGTGATTGTCCAAAGGGATGGGAAGGGAAAAATTGCGACCAAGGTGAGTTTGCTTTTCTCCATTCTCGTACCCCTCCGGTTTGATAAAAGGTATCTTCCTGGTTCTATCGGTTATGTCCATATGTACGCATGTGTATAACTGCTCCACCTATATGGAGTTCTCAACCGTAAGCAGGTTTTTACCTAGCATTTCGTGAGGCGTTCCCAGTATTTTGCTGCTACCCAAGTGCGTTCCTGATTGGAGAGAGGCACTGTGACAGTTTATTTTCGAGTCTAAGAACTCAGCACGTTGACTCCAGCCGAGGCTCTCACCTCATCACACATTTTATTTAGGCGTGGAACCTAAGTATATAATTTTTAGCTGGAATGGAGAGAGCGTAATTCCACAGAAATGCTAAGCTACTTGAAGAACGGCCGTTGTAGATAGATATCTAAAATACTGATCGGTGTTAAGGCTCAGTAGTCTCCGATAAAATTGCTAAGGTATCATATCAGGAATCTGTTGCTGTCTTTGACCCGGCGCATTCAGTATGATCGCTGTAGACAACTGCATTTCTCCTTTTTTTTTTTTTTTAAATCAAACAGCTATTTATAATCGACATAAATGGGTAATCTTATCCTTATTGTGATGGATCATAAACTATAGTGACATGGACGTACAAATGGCTAAATTTGAGAGCTCTAGACTATAATCAAATCAGTCAGTCTTGCCCATTCATACCTGACTAAATTCATCTTCGATTCACAGATGTTAACGAATGTACTTCCACTCCATGTAAAAATGGCGGTACATGCGTCAACCTACACGGCAGCTTCGAATGTCTCTGTACATACCGACATTCTGGTGTTCTCTGCGAACAAGGTAAGATCGATTATTTGCGAGGTGTTGATGAAAAGGAGAGCCTGAGCCAGTGGAGACTCGAGTTCTCAGGCCTCTGTAATTGAAGGAGAAGAAATCCTAAGGAAAACACCCTTCAATCCAGTACGGTTCTATGGCAGCTCCAAACTTCGTATCCTTTCATTTAATACCTTTCCCCGTTTGAATTCACCCATTGCTGTTCTTCTTATGCAAAAAAAGAATGTTACGAAATCTTCAATCGCATGAAGTTTCTAGGCTGTCAGGACACACTCGTATAACGTGATCCAGGCAAAAGCTTCAGCGTTTATCCTTCTTTGCCTTTACACAGCATGCAATGCAGCCCTCGGCATGGAGAGCGGCGCCATCCTGGGTGAACAGATCATTGCTTCTTCAGAATATGATGGAAATCATGCTGCTAAGCAAGGCAGGTTGAACTTCCAAGCGGTCCCAGGTAAAGCAGGAAGTTGGTCAGCCCGCACAAATGACGCCAATCAATGGATACAAGTAAAACTTCCCAGCAACACAAAAATATCTCGTTTTTCGACGCAAGGAAGAAATGCATACAATCAGTGGGTTACAAAATACCAGCTAATGTACAGTGAAGATGGACTCAACTTCCATTATTATCATGAGCGAGGGCAGAGCTCACCTAAGGTACAAGTCTTTGATAAAGAGATTGAGTTCCGTCAACACACACGAGAAATCCTTTTGGAAAATATTTGTTACGTTAAACAAGTGATTTGCCGTTATTAACTCCATTCACGTCTGCTAGGAATTTCAAGGCAACAGTGACAGTGAAACTATTGTATATCACGAGTTGAACCCGCCTATTGAAGCACGCTATGTTAGACTTCGTCCTACAGCCTGGCACAACCACATATCCTTGCGAATGGAACTGTACGGATGCGAAGGTATTCTTAAATAAGTTTCCTCATTACATGCCTTTGACGAAATGCGTTTATTTAGTTTCTAATTTTAAAACTGATCAGAGTTTCCATTTCAAAAACCCTTGACTCTTTGTACTTTTTATTTAAATTTTTACAGTTTGTGTTCAAGCACTTGGAATGGAGAGCGGGGATATCGTGGATGCCCAGATCACTGCTTCTTCAGAATTTGATGGAAATCATGCTGCTAAGCAGGGGAGATTGAACTTCCAAGCCGTCCCAGGTAAAGCAGGAAGCTGGTCATCTCGCACAAACGACGTCAATCAATGGATACAAATAAAACTTCCCGGATACACAAAGATAACCCGGTTTGCGACGCAGGGAAGAAATGCATTCAATCAGTGGGTAACGCAATACAAGTTAGAGTACAGCGAGGACGGTGTAACTTTTCACTATTACCATGAACCAGGCCAGAGTGCACCTAAGGTACTATGCTATGACATGCGTACAACGTTACAAAAATGAAAAAAACCCTTTTGGAACGACGTACAAGAATCAATGTAGACGCAACGCTGAGGGGGGGGGGGGGGGGGGGGGGGGGGGGGGGGGGGGGGGGGGGGGCTCGTTCCCAAGGCGCACGCACTCGAAATGACTACTTAAATGTGAACAAAGCGAGATTTTCCCGAATTATTTTGTTCTCTCAAAAAGAAAAGAAAATCAACTTGCCAACAGAAGTACCCCTGAAACTTTCCGAACCGAAAGTGGGCATTGATTTTGACATTTGGAGATTATTTACTGAGGATATTTCTTATGTAATAATTGTCTTAACTATGTTGGAACTTATTTCTGATTCGTTTCCATTTCCAATAATTATATTCTTGCAAGGGCATGTAAGCACGCGACCTCTTTCTTAGTTAAGAGGGTGATTTTTCACAAATCCCATCCAACAACCTCTGGTGAGGGCTAACTCAAAGAGAGGAGAACAAAAGAAAATATGATTGGAGGTCGTCTTGGCAATAACATTTTGCGACCAGTGCAGAGAGTTGATATTTGTATCTTAGGTGTTAATCGATTTACTTGCTCGATTCTTTCTTTATTCAAAGATATTTCATGGAAACACGGATAGTAACACTATTGTGACCCATGAATTGCTTCCTCCCATCCAAGCACTGTACATCAGGCTTCGTCCTACTGCTTGGTTCAATCATATATCGATGAGGATGGAGATCTACGGATGTCCAGGTAATGTTTTGATCACGCATAGAGGCTCTACTCTCTATATATTTTCCATTCATGAGGAACTTTAACTTAAACAGAGTGAAATTCTTTTAAGTTATTTCGTTTAATTTTTAGCATTAATCAGTGTTCTTATTACAAAGCTCTCGCCTCTTTTTATTTTGAATTATTACAGCATGCACAAAACCACTTGGTATGGAGAGCGGCGCCATCTTGGATGCACAGATTACTGCTTCTTCAGAATTTAATGGAAATCATGCTGCTACGCAAGGCAGGTTGAACTTCCTAGCGGTCCCAGGTAAAGCAGGAAGCTGGTCAGCTCGCACAAACGACGTCAATCAATGGATACAAATAAGGTTTCCCGGATACACAAAGATAACTCAGTTCGCCACACAGGGAAGAAATGCATTCAATCAGTGGGTAACGCAGTACAAGTTAGAGTACAGCGAGGATGGTGTGACTTTTCATTATTACCATGAACCGGGCCAGAGTGCACCTAAGGTATTAGGGCTTGTTTATTACGTCATAGAAAAATACAGAAAATCATTTTAGAGCAGTGTATAAAAGTTATGAGAGGTGCGAGTCTGGGAAGGCGCTTAAGAAGTCCTATTGAGCCTGGAACGAGTCTCTGTCAAGCCTCGTCCTTGCGCCGTAGTACTCGTGGAGGCTACTAAATTGTATAAACAGCGAAACTTTATCAACCCAGTTATGATTAGTCTACCAAAACGTTTAAAAATCGAAATACACTTGTTATTCTTTGAAACGAAAATTTGCCAGTGATTTTGGTCATTGTAAATGATCTAATGGAAATATTTTGGTAATCCTTTTTATCCTGTTTCCATCTCGCTTTCCATTTCTTGCAAATAGGTTAAAACACGGCACCAATGTCTTAAGAAGGTGATCGTTTGCAACTCCTCTAGAATAAAACCATTTTTATCCTCAGCCGCCATCGCACTAAGAGTGGAGAGAAGAAAGGAAAATATCGACTCGGGAACAATTGTTCTTTGAGCTAAAATCATAAAAAATGAACGGCAGTCAAAACAGATGATTGATTGCTAACCTTGCTCGATATTTGCCTTTGTTTTAGGAATTTGTTGGTAATACAGACAGTAACACCATTGTGACCCATGAGTTGTTTCCTCCCATCCAAGCACACTATATAAGGCTTCGTCCTTCTACGTGGGTTAATCATATATCATTGAGAATGGAAGTCTACGGATGTCGAGGTAATGTTGTGACCACGATTAAAAGTTCTATTGCTTGTTGCGTCTCATTTATGAAAAACTTTTTTATCTAACTGCAAAATTGGAAAAAAACCTTTAAATTTCTATGCTCACTTCCTTTAGGTTGTTACTCAGAGTCGTCATATCATAAAAACCTTTTCTCATTTCATTTTAAATCACGACAGCATGCGTCCAAGCACTTGGTATGGAAAACGGTGACATCAAAGATGCTCAGATAACCGCTTCTTCAGAATTTGATGGAAATCATGCTGCTAAGCAAGGCAGGTTGAACTTCCTAGCCGTCCCAGGTAAAGCAGGAAGCTGGTCAGCTCGCACAAATGACGTCAATCAATGGATACAAGTTAAACTTCCCGGATACACAAAGATAACCAGGTTTGCAACGCAAGGAAGAAATGCATTCAATCAGTGGGTAAAGCAGTACAAGTTAGAGTACAGCGAGGACGGTGTGTCTTTTCATTATTACCATGAACCAGGCCAGAGTGCAGCTAAGGTACTAAGACGTTTACAACGTTATAATAATACAAACAACCTCTTCAGCGACGCACTAAAATTGGTAATACACATTCTGGGAGCCACACGGAGGCAACAAGGGGCTTCTTTAAAGTGTTTTCCCAACGTGTTAGTCCTCGTGATGTCTACTTAAATGTAAACAAAGCGAGATTCTACCGAATCTATAAGTCAACACAAACTTACAAACTAACGTTTTCAAACGGATATGCCCCTTAAAATGGGCAGTAATTTGGCATTTTGAGACTATTTCCTGAGTATATAACTAATAATGGTTATCTTTACTGTGTTGGAACTTATCTCTGATTCGTTTCCTTCTTCAGTAATCATTTTCTTGTAAGGGCATGTAAGCACGGTACCTCTTTCTTAATTAAGAGGATGATCTTTCATAAATCCCATGAACCAACCCCTAGTGGGGAAGAAACTTAAAGAGAGGAGAACCAAAAAAAAAATGCGATTGGAGATAGTCTTCGTAATAACATCTTGCGACCAGTGCAGGGAGTTGATATTTGTATTCTAGGTGTTAATCGATTTACTTGCTCCATTTTTTCTTTGTTCATAGATATTTCATGGAAACACGGATAGTAACACTATTGTGACCCATGAATT